TTCCATGACCTCCATGAATGATTCGCAGCCTTAAGTATGAGCATTAATATTTGCAGGATTGGGACCAGTTTATGCCATGAAGCATGGGAAAAGGCTGTGAAATTTAAAATGAACAACACACACAAAAATCTACTTTTTTTTTTTTTTTAATACTACGCACACAAAATATTTAATAAATTCCCAATGACCCTTGGACACTGCCCCAGATCCGGCACATTATATTCTATTATTTGACTTAAAAAAAAAGTTAGGCAGAGCTTTGTAACCTACTTTTTTCACTTGATTCTTTAATGAAAGGTTGACTGTAAACACTGCATAAGCACAGCATCATAAGTTTCTAAACTTCAGTAATATTCAACCTTTGGGCATAGTTTTGCCATAATTAAGCAAAATGTACTAAGTTTTGCACTAAATTTATACAAAAAATTGAATTAGCTGTTCTATGTAATTGAAATGGAAAAGGTATTGCTTCAGAAGGTTGTAATGGGTGGTATGAAATCTGAATTGTGCTTTGGTGCAAAAAATTTCCATATACAATACAAGACAGAGATAGTTGGGAATTAACCTCTCCAAACTGGAATAAGAGATTAAAATGAAAAGGTTGTGCACGTTAAGGAAATCTGTGAAGCAGCCTGCATAAATGTCTGAGAACTGCAACTCCTCAGATCATATCTGGAGCAGGTTGCTTGTGATATTCAAAGTTAAAAACCATTTGGACAGAAATATGCATTTCAGTTAATATGGAAGTTAGAATGGTGCAACTACTGTTTCACCCTATTGCCATATATTATTGTGAGAGCCAGAACTCACAGTAGCAGATGAGAAGCAGATAGAAACTTTTCATATCACTTCCTGTGATCATATGGATAGTGAGAATGAGTGCATATTAAAGCAATGTGATTGATTCTAGTATATTTCTGTCAAATATGAATCAGGAGAGGAGAGTGTATTTGGAAGCATGCTGCAGCTGCAAGAATGAATTCCTTGGCAGAGATCCAAAGAAAAGCAAAAGCTATTGCTAAACAACATCAACCTGTACACTGACAATATATTGGCACAGACAAGCCAAAGAGTCAGTACTCTTCCTCCCATCGCAATTTTAGAAAAATAAAATTGTAAATAAAGCACACACTGGAGCCTCTGATTCACCTTTCGGTGCTTCCTCTGTGCCCAATAAAGATAGTTATTGACATTATCTTCTTATTCATACTCTGAGTCTGAATTTTACTGATTATTAATAACTGAAGATTAGCAGTATCATTAGCCTGATTTCCTTTGACCATCATCCCACAACAAGCAAAAATGGATGAGGCAAGAAAGAGGATAAAGTGTTGGATTCTTAGTTCATAAGGAATCAATATAAAACTGCACTGTTATGAAGAGGCAGTGGTTGACTAGCTTTCCCTTATAAGCTCAATTTGATCATAGCTACTCACCCAACCTTATCTTCACCCAAACTAAAACAATCTCCCTGATCCTTCTCATGAGTGCCCATTCCTCTGCCAGAGAAGATTAAGGTGTGCATGGAACCTTTACTCTGAAGTTCCAGACTTCCTAACATTTGCTTTGTGAAAACATTACTCTAAAGTTTGAATTTACTTCTCTGTAAAGAACAAAGCATATTAATATTGCTGTATGAATAACAAAGATTAATAATAGATTATATTAATTTACCAACATTTGGGGAAATTTTTCAAAGTGCTAAACACTCACATCTTCCACTGACTGCAATGAGAACCCTTAGTGTTTAGCACCTTTGAAAATTAGGCCTTTTGGGGGTTTCTTTTGTTTGTTTTTAAAAGATGAAATGCTGTACATTTATTCTGATGTAACTAATCTGTCTTTACTTACTCTATCCTAATGAAGATTTTTTTTTTTTTTGGGTCTATGCAATTTACTTAGCATCAGCAACAAAACAGAGCGAAATGAAGGGAAATCAAAGACAGACTCACAGCACTAAACATCATTAAATAAAAGTAGTAACTTTCTATCATCACCCGAATGAATAAAAAAAAAGATGTTAATGTGAGAAAAACAACCACACACAAAGTTACTGAATGACTTTTCATATTTATTATTAGTGGGAAGCAGCCAACTGACATCAGCAAGGAACCGAACCAGCAAAAACAAAACTTTCTACAACCCAATTCCTGTTACAGGTCTATTCTAATGCAAAGTGAAGGAAGGAGCTAAAACTGGGTGTAGAAGTTTCATGTTTGGACGTTTTTACCTTTGGCTGAAAGGATTTTGTTATAATGAACAGCCATGTGATCCCTGATCAGGTACTGGTTATTTAGTCTCCGGGAGGAGTCAATGCAAAAAGCTATAAAATTAAACACATTTGAATGTTATAAAAAGTAGTGTAAAGATAAATAGTTATTAATTAATTACAGTTCAAACCCAACACAGTTCCAAACAAAAGCGGCAAAGATGGCAGGCGGTGTTACATAATGGAGGCCACAAGAACCAGAGCATGGGCCTGCCCTTGCCTTTGTCCTCCCAACTTCACAAGCGACATGCCCGAAGGAGACACTTGTCTTTCCTAACAACTTCAGAATCATGGTACTTTTGGGAAAGGGTACCGAGGCTTTCACTCACTCCTTCGTTCTAGGAGGTCATCTCTCCCTGCTACCTTTTCTCCTTTCCCTGCAGTGTTGGTTTGCACTACAGCCTCAGATCCAGTGGCTAAGCACTCTCATTCCATTTTTTACAAGATCATACTGCATCTCTAAACAAACCAAACTGAAATTTGGTGGTCATCAAAGTGTGCTAATGCTCCCTCCCCTCTCTTTAAAACTGAATAGTGTATGTCTGACAGCCTCAAATCCAGGTGTTCTACCCATGAATCCCATCCCATGCACTTTGTCTCTCCCACATTAATGGGCTGGTTTGATAGCATTTTCATAGTTAAAATGCTGAGTGGATAAAGTCCCAGTTTTCCATCACTTCCACCGCATCCATCCAACCCCAAACTTTTAAAAACTTTTATTCCAAACCAGTAGCAGAATATATGTTTAAATTTCATCAGTATAAATAAATACATTTAAAAACAATACTCAGTTAGTTGTCCCTCCCCTCCATTTACCTGCCAGCCCCCAAGGTGAGGGTCTGAAGGAAAATGTTATTCACATTGTTAGAAGTTTTAGTGATATTACCAACTGTTACATGGGAAACAGAGATTCCTAAACTCAGGACATTGTGGATAAGGGCCTGATGCTGTGAAATGTTGACATTAGTGGGAGTTCATCACACTCAGCACCTTACATGATCAGATTTGTCCCATAGAGTCATAAACCATTTTCAATCATTTCTTTTTATTTAAACATAATCTTTGTTTAAGATATCTTAGGACACAAAAATTTTAGCTTGGACAGAGTTCAAGAAGTCCCTATAAATATAGGCACTGTTTTAGCAGGGCATTTAAACACATGTTTAAGTGGTCTACAGAATAGAGGGGACTACTCACAATCTTAAAGTTATACATATGCTTAAGTGCTTTGCTCAATGGGAGCCATAGCTTCTTCATCACCTGAATGGAAACAAGCTCAGTATCATATTAGAATACACATTATTCGTTCTATTTGAGCCATTAGCTCATAAGAAATAACACTTAAAGGTAGTATTTTTACCTTTTTTGCTTTAATTTTATGTATTCTAGCCAGCAAAAGCACCAAGATACATAAAACCCAATGTGAAAAGACCAAATGTCCTTTCAGTAAAGCACATTTGTATATTACTATTATTAAAACCTCAGTAAAAGTTTAAGTCAAAGGTTTTAACGAAATAAACATTTTTTAAAATCATAAAATAAACATGTCCATACAAAGCAACCATGACAACCCTTTTATCAAATCATACATATTACTTACCATTACTCTGAGTACTTAAATGTCCTTTAAATGGGCTTGCTGGACCGTATCTGGGAATGGCTGGGTATTCGCTCACTTAAAGAAAAATGTCAAGCAATTAGAAGGAAATACATATTTTGACAAATAGGATAAAGCAGAACATGTTTCTTTAAAGCTGCAAAGGTCTGTTTAAATCGGTTATTATGAGAAATTTGAATCTGTGGCAGCCAATCAGATTACTGGTAGGGTGGACTTTATTTAATGTTATAACGTGAACATCATTGCAGTTCAATGAGCTTCCTATATTACCTAAATACCAAAGTATGATTGTAGAGAGACAGCATGGGTGAGGTAATTTATTTGATTGGACCAGCTTCGGCTGGGGAGAGAGAGACAAGCTTTCGAGATTACACAGAGCTCTTCTTCATGTCTGGGAAAAGTACTCAGAGTGTCACAGCTAAATACAAAGTGGCACAGATTGTTTAGCATAGAGAATGGTCCCTTCAAAGGAATGTTCCCTTCAAATATGTTAACTACTTATGCTAAACAATATGTGCCACCTTCTATTTAGCTGTGACACTCTGAGTATGTTTCCCAGACCTGGGGAAAAGCCTGTGTAAGCTCGAAAGCTTGTCTCTCTCACCAACAGAAGCTGGTCCAATAAAAGATACCTCACCCACCTTGTCTCTCTAATATCGTGGGACTGACACAGCTACAACAACACTGCATACAAAGTATGACTGTGATGTTTTCATAGATTCACAGAGTTTAAAGGCAGAAGGAATTATTAGATCAACTAGTCTGATCTCCTGTATATCACAGTCCATTAAATTTCACTCAGTTACCCCTGTACAGCGCCCAATAAAAACTTGTGTTTGGCTAAAGTATAACTTGTTTTAATGTTTTATTGTAAGGACTTTAAATCCATTATATCAAATGCCTGATGTATGTATAATCTTTTCCGATGATATATGCTGATGTAATTTAGCTTCATGCCCATAATTTACACTGCTAAATTCTGAACACTTTAAGGAAACAATCTGTGCTTTCTCCTCCAATAAGAAACCATCTTGACAATAAAAGGAGTTTGTTTCAAAGTATACTGTATAAAGATAACTGGTATTGCACTCGCTGAGGTCATTTAAAAAAATAATCATCCCAATGGTTTGATGGACTGGCAGAGATTCCATTTAATATCTTTAGATCTAAAACAATCACAGTGCAGCTATTCTATGACAAATGTTGATGCAACTACTCACTCTAGTACCAGTCGTTTGGCGTAAAAGGAGAATAAGCATCATAGAATCAACATATCCTGCTCAAAAAATAAATGTCTTAATATTAAATGCAGCAGCTGTTGTTCACTGGTCAATATTTTATCCTGTTGACAGTCAGTATGATTTTCAAAAGTGATCAGCACACTGAGTGCACTTGAAAATCCCATCTATTGTCTCTTATGTAAATTAGGATCTTAAAAATCACCACCTGATTTCACTGAGAAACTCCACATTCCTGAAGCAATTTTTAAAAGGAGATATTGATTGTTATGAGCAATAACATGCTCTGAGCCTTCACTCTAAGTGGCTAACCCCAAGAATTTAAAATATAAAACAAAGAAAAAGAAAAAATCCACAAGATTCTTCTAAAACAAGATTTCTTTCTTGAAGTTAAGGTACCATACCTGCTCCACTTACTACTGACTATAATAATTTGCAGCCAATTTCAAGGAACATATGATCATTGTCAAGGGCTGAACTAGCCCATTCTCTCTCACCTGTAGATGTGAAGAGAGCCTGAAATGGTCATGTGAATGATTGCCTTACAACTGATACATGGTACCACTGTGTGCAAGTAAAAACACATGACAAGGTGTATGGTCATAAGCAGATGTACACACACCTCAGGAGCTCTGTGAGGTAAGAGGCTGAAAGTAACCAATAAGTGTGGTTATCTAATACACTTGGACTCTTCGGTCTCTGGTACAACTACACTCCATGAAATACATTATGCTTTTTACTGTATTAATTTTATAAAAATTTAGATATTTGAAAAATTGTGGAGAAAAGAAATGTCTTTATTTTGGGATATATTGTATTTTTTAAATTATTTTTTTTAAATATTATGGGGTTTTTTTTAATCCCCTAATTCAAGGTCCTTCACATTAGGAGTAGGGATGTAACTTTTACTATTCAGGTCAACACCAAAAACTAGCCATCCTTTTCTTCATCTGCATCTTTTTTCCATTCTTCATTATTGCTTCTATCCCTTCTTGTTTCCTGGTTGCTTCTCTTTAACTCCCCTCCTATTCCTTGATTGCATACCCTTCCTTCCCAGTCCAAATCCCTCACTGCTTCCCTTCCCAGCACCTCTGCTCCATGTACAAGCAGAGAAACAAAGTGAAACTGATAAAATAGAGCAGCTCTCTGGTTATGGTCCCAATCCTGCAAAAACTTACATATCTGCTTAACTTTAACCAGATGAGTAATCTAATTACATGCTTAAAGTTAAGCACTTGGGTGAGTGTTTACAGAATTGAGGGCTATATTTGTTGCTTCTGGCATATGGAACATAACAGTAAAGAAGGTATGGGGAACAAGATAAAATTGGTTTGCATTTGATGATTTCTAAAAACTAGCAATAAACTATAGGACCCTTTTGGCTCTTAAAGGCTGTAGTATTTTAAAGCACCGTTAATACAAATCAAAATAGAAGGGGAAATCTTAAGATATTTTTATGACATTCTTCTTTTTGATGGGTGTAATGATATCAATGAGGGCAAATTAGTAAATTTCTTTCTGTGTAGTTACATTAAATACTATAGATCCTGAATAGATAGTCAAAGCCACTGTCACATGGAATCTTCTTTTATAATATAACAGCATTTCCAAACCTGGGATGTCTTAACACTCAGCGAATGTATAGTTCCATTATACAAGCTCTTTAATGGGCTTTTTACTGTATTCCAAATGTAGGCATGTTACACTTTACATAAACAAAGCACAAATGCTATAGAAATCTTCTGACTATTCACTAGGAGCCCCGGATAGAAAAGGGAAGGAGCTATCAAGTCCATTAGCCTAAAGCATCTATCTATTTTTTGATGTACCGCAAAAGCTATTACTCTTGAAAAGGACAGGATATATCTGTTGCTAATTTTCACATGCAACTAAATAATTTGAGAGGCACATTGTGATCTGGGTTACTACATATTCACATCCTGAATGTCTACTATACACACAAAAAGAACAAGAATACTTGTGGCACCTTAGAGACTAACAAATTTATTTGAGCATAAGCTTTTGTGGGCTACAGCCCACTTCTTCGGATGCATAGAATGGAACTATACACACAGAATATTGACCCTACAAGAAATAAAATGGGCCACATCCAGGCTGTTGCCAGATCCTATCTGTTCTTCATTTAAAACATCTTTAAAATCTGTCCTCTCTCCTGCACTTAGATCACTATCTCTTGGCCCTACATTAGTCAATTATCTACTTGAGCAACTCCTTCTCCCTGGCTTCCCTACCTCTGACTTGCCTCTCCTCCAGTACATAACAAATGCCACTAGTAAAGTCATCTCTCTTGATCAGTGATCAGATCAGCTTAACCCCTTAAATGACTTTCTCCATTGACTTCCTCTCACCTTTCATACCAGGTTCAAATTTCTCAGCCTCACCAGCGAGGCTCTTTACATTTACACTCCTGCTTTCATCTCTGCTCTTGTATCTTTCTAAACATTGCCCCTCTGACTTCACTGAAGCCTCCTGACTAGTTATCACATTTGGTTGTGTGTACAGTAGTATTTTCCATCAAATTTTCCACCATCTTGGGATCACTACTGTGGACACCTGGTTACTGGCTTTTTAACTATCATGTCACCTAGATCTGCTCTGAGCAATCATACACAATACAGTGGTTAAAATATTGGCAGATAGTCTATACTAGCACTCCCACCATTATTAGCAGTGGTAGTATGATGGAAGGAAATTTGAAGGAAAATGCTAGTGTAAATATATTATTTGTAGCCTTCTTTCTCTCATCTGCAATCCATCTTTCATGTTGTCCTGATCGCAGGAATAACTTCCTTTGTCTTGTGTGCCACTCCATTTAAAGGCATCCTTAACACACTCCTTCCACAATGTCCTCCAATGAGAATTTATATTTATAGTTTTAGAACAAATATAAATATTAAATTGAATTATATTTATTTTAAATATTAAAATCCTAAAGTATCCAACAACAAATGTGAAAGTAATAAACTAGCAATCTGCTCTAACAATCTATCCTTCTCTGTTACTTTTGTGTAGTGTTCATGATCTAATTTAGACCTCTATCCTGCAAAGCATGGCTATTTAAACTCAGTCGGACTGTTCACATTTAAAGTTATGGGGGTATGTCTTCGAAGGATTGGGGCCACAGATTATAAACATCAAGAAGCAGGGGACTAGTATTTTAGCTGCTTATGAAGTGGTACGGCACCTACATAATTCAGAAATCTGGGCCAGAGAGGAGATCATAGAATCAACAGATTCTCATCCAGAGCTGATCAAATGGAACCTAAGTTTTCCATCACTTTGTAAGTGATTTATACCTGAGTCTGATAATACCAGAAAAACACACATTTTATAGACAGATATCTAATTATAAGATCATCTCTAATGTATTATTTCAGGTGAGGGAACCCTGGAGAGAACAGTCCAGGCACCATAAGAGTATCCCTTTGTGGATTCTTGTAACTATAATTTTGATCCTATTCAGTGACTTGTACAGTTTGAGTCTGATTTTAAAGGTGTTCAGGGATGTGATGCTCCTACCGTCTTCAGTTGGAACTGTGGCTCCTCAGCATCCCTGAAAATCAGGCACTTTATTTTTAACATTAATTTACACCTCTACCCCGATATAATGCAACCCGATATGACATGAATTCGGATATAACGCGGTAAAGCAGTGCTCCGCGGGGGTGGGGCTGCGCACTCCAGTGGATCAAAGCAAGTTTGATATAACGCGGTAAGAGTTTTTGGCTCCCGAGGACAGCGTTATATCGAGGTAGAGGTGTACATTATAGCCATCTGTAAAAGCAGCACATTATATCA